ATTGAAACCACAATGAAGTGTAGCCACCATGGTCAAAAGCTGCTCTTGGGGCCAGGGTTTGGGAGCATACCCAGGAGATTTCAACTATGCAAAACAGCTGTTTTTGAGTTGTGCCATTACAAATACAGACTGCATATATACATACGTGCACATCCCACCTAAGTGAGGCAGGAACAACTGCCTGCAGCTTGGAATTTTTATCTTTTGAGCATCCCAGGATGGCTGAAAGGATGGGCAGAAGAAGCAGGCTGCCTCCTGCAGCCCGTGGGCAGTAAAGTACCAGCAGAATCTGATCTGCCGTGTTTTCCCACGTGAGCAGAGCTGGAGGACTGTGCAGCATTAAGCTTCTCACAGCTTTTCCCAGAGTACCTGAAATCTCCTCCTTCTCCTCAAGCGCAGGCAAACCTTCTTCCCCTCAGGCCCTGAGCAAAGGGCCTCTGAGATGGTCTCAGGCCCCACCAGCTCCAGGAGGCAAACATGTCACTTCTCTTGCAGCCACCCAGCAAGCATAAGAGCATACCATGCCTGGATCTATATATTGTCACTCTTGTCCCTTCACTCTTTCAGCCCCGTTTCCTCAAGCAGTCACAGAAAAAAAAAGAAGAAAAAAGAAAAAAAGAAACTAGGTACATTATTAAAACTACCAGCTTCACCTGTCGCAGGAGTACATTCTACTGAGAAAGTATTCCCTTTGCAAATTAAAAGTCAGCTGCACAATTCTTTAAGATAGAAGAAAACCAAGTCCCCTTCAAGCAAAAACGTATCTGAGTGTCTAGGGATCTCCTGAAAATCTCCAGCTCATCAAAGCACTGAAATAGGTAGGGAGCTGGGAGAAAACATGATGAAAGCAGAAGATGATCTACCTTTTCAGTCAGTCCCCACCTACATCAGCCCCAAGGAAGAGCATGTAGCTGCCCTAGCATTCCCGCAACAATTATTTATCCTTTTCTCGAAGACTTTAGATGGCTGAAGGCCCACTGTCCCTTTGAAAAGCCAGTGAGAGTGGTTCTTCTCCTTTCACTCCTCCAAAATAACAATTTTAGACTGGCTCTTACAAACATGAAATACCATTTTTCTTCTGAAAACTTCCTGTGAACATGCAATAACTCTTAAGACCTGGGTGTTGGACAGAAGTCCTCTGGGATGTAAATGGTGCTGCCTTCACTCCAGGTGTGCTGGCTGACAGCTGACACATACTGACAGTAAACATGCAATGACACAATTATGTTTATCTGCACATACTGTCTAGCTTGTGGCCATCGTCACAGTAGATAAAGCTCTCATGTCCCATTTGAAGAGACAGGTAAGCAGATTTAGCTTAAAATAAGAATATCAAGCACCTCTAGTATTTCCTGTGTGACAGACAGTATGTGTTTGTGCATATGTGTATGCACACATATGCACTGACAGACAGTGCTGGAATATTTTAAACACTAAACTGCCGCATGCAGAGATTGGTAAATTAAATAATCATTCATTAGTTACCATAGCAATGCAGATGCAATCACAGTGAACAAAGAAGGAATGGGGCAGGGGGGTATGACAGAACAAATGCTGACAGGAGCAAGGCCCTCCATTGATTTTTGTTAATATATTTTTTTTTATTAAAGTCCCCAGACTGCAAGATCTTGTTCCATATTCATTAGTGTTTCACCTGCCTGCAAAGGGAAATGGCAGATACTCTGCTACAGCCTGAAAGATCCAAATCCTGAGCTGGAGCAAATTGGTACAGCTCTGTTGACTTTGGCAGAGAGCATCCAGTTTATGGCAGCTGGGGATCTGGCAAAAAAAGAGCATCTAATTCTCTTTAGCTTCTGCAGCAACTGAAAACTACTGCATCCTCTGCTACTTTATAACTTCTTACAGCAGTGCTCTCCAGTGAACAAGCAGAGACAGGGAGAAGCCGTCTTTCCCCAAGCCAGCGGGTGGGTTTAGCTGTGTAACTGTCATTAATTCCAATGGCAGCTATATAGCTCAGTCTTCTACTCAGCCTGGAGAATCTCATCAATAATCCCTTTGCCACTGATAAGAGAAATAGCGTGGGGTTCAGAGTAGCACTCATCAGGCAGGGCTTAAGCAGAGGGGGATGCCCAGGCCTGTCAGTCCTCCTGCTCGCGGGCAGCACAGCACCCAGCTGTGTCACCCGGACCCCAGCAGCACCCGGGCACGAAAGCAGCAACATCCATCTGCAGGAAGCTAAACGACAAAAAGAGGACTCCTTTGGGTCACTGGCAAACGTGCCCACGGTCAACTGCCTGATGATAATGCTAAGTGACTGACCTGCTGAAGGGCCAATTAAAACTTCTTAATTTATTTCTGCACGTGCATTTGGACAGAAGAGAGTGTGCTGATAGATGGAAACGGTGCTGAGACTAATGCCAAGGTCTGGGCTAGAGGACTGGGTCTTCCCCAAACTGCCTCAGTCCTGTCCTCTGCCAATACGTCCCCTCGCCCCAGCCGGTGGCAGGGGGCAGAGGAGCACGTAGCCTGCTACCCTGCAGAGTGAACCAGCAGGGACGGGCAGCTTGCACAGGAACACCAACCCCAGCACCTGACATGGATACAGGTCTCTTTTTTCACTCCACCACAACTTAATTGCTGGCGATAAACTATGACAAAGGAATGGAGGCGACAACTGGGACAGTAACAGCTTGGACACAGCAAACACAAGAAAGATGCCAGAGCGCATGTGTCAGACATGGAGTGGCCTTAGAACAAATCCCCACCACAGCCTGAGTTTGTTGCTCTTTGGGCTTCTGACATTTGTCCTAAAGCCAGCGCAAACCTCCCAAAATCTGTGACTAGAGTCAGCTTTTGGCTAGTGATTCTCAACAAAGTCCATGTAGAATGGGTGGCCTATTGCAACCCTTCCTAGGAAGTCAAATATATCTCCCATCTATCAGAAATATTATGTAGATGCTCCAAGAAAAATCATTAACCTCTTAGAGGCAGAGTTGAAAGCAGGAAACTAGGCAGCATCGTGCCCAGAGGTCTGCCTGCAGCCCATCCTCACAGTATCCAAATGCTTCTGTCCAAAATGACCATCAGTTATCACTGACCGTTACGGCCAACACAGCATATTGCATGAATGAAGCTGGGCATCCTCCACTGAGTGGCAATGTCCAGATACCCACTGTGAGATCAGGCACTCTCCAAAGCGTAGGAAGCAGAAAGCTGGCTGAGATCCCTTCTCCCAGCTCTAGATCAGTGCTGTAAGAAAGAAAGGCCACAGAGGCATAAAGCAAGCCCCAAAATATCCAGTGGCTACCCCTGCTGCAAAGGGTGTGAGGTGCACCTGCACGTACCCCAGTCTTTCCGCAGCAGGCACCTGCAGACAAGCCCCAACCAGGAGGTGCAATGCGAGACTGTGCAGTTTGACAGAGTGTGGCTGATGAAAGGACACTGTTTTCTGCAGCATGAGCAGAATACAGTAGATAATAGCCATCTTTACATAGAAAACTTCTTGGTGACAATCCCACTGGAAGTGACCAGCCTGTTTCATCTGGAGGTAAGAGAACCAGTAGTAAGTTTTTTCTGACTTAAGTGAATAACGAAGTATCTACTTCATTGCTCTTTGCACTATATTGTGAGCTGTTAGAGGAAAAAAAACCTTAAGTTTACAAGTCCTAATTGTGTTACATTTTAGCTGATTGCAAAAACTATATACAGTCTAAGTCCTGCAAGCAGACCTCTGTGCAGAAGAGAACATTTTGAGGTTGCTGGTCTGTGTTTTTTTTATTTCTATTATATGTGTAAGTGGCTAACAGCCTCAAAACAACCTCTTTGCATTCACAAAGCACAAAACCTTGAAAACATGGTTCGTCTCCTCTCTTACTTCCACAGGTACTAACCGGCAGTAATGTTCCTGAACACCAGAGGAAAGAAGCACCTCCCGCGTGCTCCTGCAGCTGCTCTGCCCATACCGCCCTGTGGACACCACCGCTCCCTGGGGATGTGGCTTTTTACTAGGACTCAAACCTCTGGCAGAAAATCCTCCTGCCCCCGCAGCAATCAGGCAGCAGCAGATTAAACATCTCCCCATTTCCCTGTGCAGCGAAGCAAGTGCCTCTCTGCAGCCGGGCTCCATCCATAGCACTTGCTGTTCTCCTCAGGCATCGGTGAAGCTTGGGCTGGGAACACTCTTCCCTGTGTGAGACATGTCCCACACTCCTACCCTGTGAAGCCGTATAATGGAACTGCATATGGGGAGCGTGTTGACATTGTTAAGGTTAATGATATAACACCAGAAAGCACATTTACAGGCAAACGGATTATAATAATTGCTCGAGCGCACAATATGAGCAACATATTGCAAATTGGCCTTTGGTGTGGTTCAGCACTGTTCTGTCATCATCATCCCATTTTCACAACGGGCAGTAGGCTATCTCTGATCCTGGGGGACACCATACTTTCCACAGAGACCCTCTGTACACAACTGCTGACCACACGTAAAACAAACGTACCCTAGAGCTTACTGCTGCCCTGAGGCGCCATAGGGTGCCCCTCCTGCAGCTTTGTGGCATTCAGAGAAGGGGGTGATGTGCCTTCAGCCACATGACCAGCTACTGATTGCAGGTGTTTGGCGGCAAGAGGCCTTCCGCACGAACCCAGTGAGGCATTAACTGCTTTAGCACCGTGCACTGAGGGGGCACAGAAGATAAGGAGCAACTAAATCAAGGGATTCCCCTCCCCAACCCAAACCCAAGGCGGGGGCCACTTCTCGATTTCTTTACCTGTTTTGGGATCTTTTCAGTAGCGGTCACGACTTTTTAATGCGTTTGTGTGATGAAAGCCTTTGACAAGAGCATGTGTCACGGAAAGCGCAGCGGTGAGCCATGGCCTTCATATATATGTTAACCAGCCCTGATAGCATTACGGGGCCTGGCTGACACCAGAGTAATTCAGTTAAGCCGCAGCCAAGTACAGGGTTTCTGTACCACACGTCAGAAGATGGAGGAGCGTGGGACTGAAAGGCGAAGAGCCAGAGAGGAGCCAGCTCCATGGTGTCCCACAGCACACCGTTAACGTGGCAGTGCCGCTGCGCCAAACACGTGGGACACGCTCTGCTGGGGACAGTGCTGCTGGGACCGCTGCCTTGGGAAAGCAGGCTGCGAAGAAAAGCCCTTCCAGCCAGACAAGTGTTTATGCACAACTTAATGCTGAAGTGAGAATTCGGGACAGCTTGAAGCACTAAAGCATATCACGTTTCTGCTGCAGATAGCCAGATTTGCCCACAAGCAAAATTCACTCAGAGACACATACAAAGTGAATTTGCTTTTTCCTCTGATTCTGATAATGTGTCCCCCTTCCACATAAGAGGAGTCTCTCGCTGGTGTAAATCTGCCTTTGAATGAAGCTCATGCCTCTAAACTCCTCCTAAGCTTTTTTGAAAATCTTACTTAAAACGTCCTGGTTTCCACCAAGATAACAGTTGTCTTATTTAGAAAATTACAATCGTCTCAGTATCTGTCCAAATTTGCAGTCTCTAAGGAGAGCTACTGAATAAATGCAAGTATTCTGCTTTGTTGTTTTTTTTTCAATTTAGTATTTTCTACAGAGGCTTAAAAAGTATCATCTACTATAACACCGAATCTTGAGATGAACAGAACAGAATAATATGAAATCAAACATTTCTGAGGTTAACTTAGAGCCCTTTATTGGATTTCTATTTCTAGGCTTCAATTAGAGTAACATAATTTATAAAAAGCTGAACAGGTAATCAAATTGCAATCAGCAAATCTTAGAAAAAAAAAAAAGACAGAGAAAGAGAAGATTTAAACAACAAGCTTTACAGATAGAGAATAAAAGTAAATTCACTTCTACAGCCCCATGGGAAAATCTAGATGTAATCAATTCAGGGTAAAATTTAATTAAAAGACAGAGCAATGGGATGGGGGGACAAAATTCAGGTATATAGGAAATCTTTGAGAAATACTCCTGTGAGAACACAGTAAGATCATTGTTATTCTGCTCATACAATTGAGTCATATCAGTAAGCAATCCATACACATGCATCATCCGACTTAACGGGGAAAAAAAATAAGACTCATTTTCTCCCCCTACCCAAGTAACTCCCAGCTTAGAGGTGTTAGAAGACTGTAACAATAGCATTCCAAATATTTTCAAGCCTATCTTCAAAATAGTAATTGGTTTATCAATTCTGCTTTATCTAAATCTTAATGTGTCACTGGCCTGCCCATAATTTTGGTTGAAAATGACCCAGAAATTAAGTATAATAACAATTACAGAACGGAGGGAGAAAGATAAGGGACAATCGGGGCTTTCTTTAACTAAAACTACCAGTACTGAGCTCCCTGAGAAAGAAAACCTATTCAGTAAGGCACACAATTCATTATTAAAGGCAAACTCGTAACTCATAGGGAACATTAAGTTAATGTACACTACAAATAGCAAACTAGGTAAAACTGCATCAACTATTATATTATATACTTATTATAATCATGATTATACAGCTTCTTAGAAAGCACTTGGGAAATGCTAGCCGTTGAAAGATCATGTGAGGAAAAGATGTGAAACATAACAAAAATGGAAAAGAGTCTGATGTAGCTCAGAAAGTGTTACATTTTACTTGAAAAGCATGAAAAAATGAAGCATAAAATGCCAAGAGATAAATTAATTAAATCCTTCACTGCAAAGTGCAAATTATGAACTGCATGTTATTTACTGGAGTTTTTTTCTGCCGGGACACTGCAGCCCATGATGGGCCAGATCCTCAGCCAGTAGCTACCACCCTGTGACTCGGCTCAGGTACCAGCACTGCCCACGGGAACGCTGAGAATGGGCCAAACAACACCAGAGAAACAGCTCAACACCAAGGGCCTGCAAACAGAAACAAAAGGCACCTGGTAGGTGGGTGAGATACCTCCAGCGATCTGGAAACAGCACACAGCACCTTTGCGGCCGCTGCTACAAGTCCAGGCAAAGGCCAAGCAAAAAAAAATAATTTAGTGTTTCAAACGTCCACCTGAGCAGAGAACATTTTTTCAGGGTAGTTAATATGCATTTTGGCACTCGTAGCTGTGAGAATATGCAGGAAGATTTTCACAAGGTCAGTCAGTTCTGCCAACTGTGTGAGACCACTCATGGCGTGCTGCTCCCTGGGGACTCCTCCAGTGGAGAAACAAGTACAGGCAGTGGTCCACTCCACGTTGGACTTTTGTGGTCACTGCCCAAAATATAAATAGCTCCTATCCATCACCATCACTCCCTGAGGGCTACTTACTCCTCAGCGTATGACTTCCCTGCTCCTGCCCTGGTATATCTGTGCCTTTCCAGAGGCCTCCAGGTCACGCTCTAACATGCAGCTGCAGAAGAAGGGAATTTGTGGGTGAGAACTACCTCCGTCCACATCAGACCTATTTTCCAGATAAATATAGGGTTGTCTAAAGAGTAACCACCAAGATTTTCATATAAACTAAAAACAAAAACAAAACCCCAACCCTAATTTCAGAGCAGCTTCAGTGCTTCACACCTGTGACTCCTGCACAGGGACTGGAGCTCTGCAACTGTATGTGTAAAACTGGCCTGTGCCCTCATTGTACCAGGACAGGGAGCTCAGGGATGGGCTGTAGGGAGACCTTGAGGCTAGGCAGGGAGAAAAATGCTGTCAGAAGGAAGAAGTAAAAGTGAAACACAAGGAGAAATATATTTCCTTAAATTCTGAGTAAGTTTCACGCTGTCCTCATAACACCAGGAGGTAAAACATTTCAGGCAGAAATGTAGTTGTCTAAGTTGACAGCATTCCTTCAAAACTCTGGGCTATGATGATAATGAAGAGCCTCCTGTCGGTGCTTTCTTAGGAGAGGTTTCCAACTTTCAAAAGGAAAATGAGAGAATTTGCAGAAGAGAGATTAAAAAGTCTCTCATTGGTAGATGCAAAGGAAGACATTGTTCTGTTTTGTTTAAATGGCCTTTATAAAATGTTCATTGCTTATCAACTGAGGTATTAATTATTGATAGGGGAAAACCAGCAGACAGCGCTGCACTCAGTTTGATTGAGGGTGGGGAAATGTGCTGGCTTGTACCACCAAATACAGAAAGCGCCCGATCCACAGGAAGCTGTCCCAAATGCAAAATCATTTTTAAAGGTAAATTTCCACATGAAAGGATGACACTGGTAAGAATAAATCCTGCTCCTCTCTCAGTCCCACTTTCTCTGAGTAAATGAGTACGCTGAAGGGCTTTTACTTCAACTGAAGTGGTGTATCACATTAACATGCTTTCTTAAACTCCTATTCTAACTGCTAGGAAAACAAAAGTGGAAAACAAGTTAAAAATATTCAAAACCAAATGATCAGCAAAAATCCTAACAGCCAACAAGGGTTCTAATTCATAGAAGAAATACATATATAAAGTACATGTATACAATATTTTCTGGAAGCTAGCAGGAATAATGGATGTGCTGGAAGAGCCACCATCAGATTTTGGTTAAAATCAGATTACAGTTCACTGTGTCAGGAGTTAAACTGTTTGTCACAGAAACCTCCTAGGATTTTGGGCCTAAATAGAAAAAAATCATGGCACCGGCTATTTGTAAGAAATTTTGCCAGCATGGCAGAAAATTCAGCTAAATAAAAAGTCGAGGTGTATGCGGTGTGCATACTGGATAAGCAGGGCCCATTGCTCAACCCAAGATGTGTTTTGAGAGTTCCTTCCCAAAGACAACACTGGGGATGGTGTTTTTTCCAGCCTAAAAAAATCCTTCTATTGATTTTCTTCCCTTTAAAGAAATCACATGCCCACTACATTTCAAAGGAAACCGTCCATCCTGCAAAAGCTCTTGTTTTTCTGCTGTTGCTTTTCCCTGGGTCTCAGTAGGGGTGCAGCTACACACTTGGAATGTGTATACAGCAGGCCAGCACATTGCTCAGCCAGTGTATAGTCAAAATCCCTGCAGGCAGGCAGGCTGGCCTTACTGCTAACAGCAATTGCAGAATAAGAGATTCAGAAGTGCTAATGAAAGCCCTACTGAAGAAACCGAAGAATTTTTCAGAGGCTGTAAGAAAGCAGTCTGCAACCGGGTGTATAATTACACAACCTAGTTCACATACGAAGTCCTGCCTAAACTTCTGGCTTTCCTCTCCTTCTCTTCACACTAAAATCTTCCTTTTTTCTTTTTTTCCTTTCTCTTTTTTCTTCTTCTTCAACATAAACTGTGCTCTTGGCCCTTTGAGTAGATTTACAAGATCTACTCCTGACCTACTTTTCTATTGTTACTCCTGCAGCTCTCATCAAGAAACTTGGCAGAACCAAAAGGCTTAGTAGCAAGGCAGTGAAGTCCTCTAATGAGCTACATCAGCGAGCAAACCTTCCCCAGCCTCACCCTGCCCTTCTTCCAGTTTCTTTGTCATTCAGGTCAGGAGCAAGCTCTCAAAGGAAGAAGCCTGATCTCCTTCATGGAGGAAAGACTCTGGAACCAAGCTCTTGAATTTAACCAGATCACATTAACATGCTTTCTTAAACTCCTATTCTAACTGCTAGGAAAACAAAAGTGGAAAACAAGTTAAAAATATTCAAAACCAAATGATCAGCAAAAATCCTAACAGCCAACAAGGGTTCTAATTCATAGAAGAAATACATATATAAAGTACATGTATACAATATTTTCTGGAAGCTAGCAGGAATAATGGATGTGCTGGAAGAGCCACCATCAGATTTTGGTTAAAATCAGATTACAGTTCACTGTGTCAGGAGTTAAACTGTTTGTCACAGAAACCTCCTAGGATTTTGGGCCTAAATAGAAAAAAATCATGGCACCGGCTATTTGTAAGAAATTTTGCCAGCATGGCAGAAAATTCAGCTAAATAAAAAGTCGAGGTGTATGCGGTGTGCATGCTGGATAAGCAGGGCCCATTGCTCAACCCAAGATGTGTTTTGAGAGTTCCTTCCCAAAGACAACACTGGGGATGGTGTTTTTTCCAGCCTAAAAAAATCCTTCTATTGATTTTCTTCCCTTTAAAGAAATCACATGCCCACTACATTTCAAAGGAAACCGTCCATCCTGCAAAAGCTCTTGTTTTTCTGCTGTTGCTTTTCCCTGGGTCTCAGTAGGGGTGCAGCTACACACTTGGAATGTGTATACAGCAGGCCAGCACATTGCTCAGCCAGTGTATAGTCAAAATCCCTGCAGGCAGGCAGGCTGGC